TGCCCAAATTTCTACCTAAGGGGTTTAGGGAGTCATGCCCTACAAACCATAAATTCTCATCAGATACGTTTCATTTAATGCTGTATATCATGACTTACTTTCCAATCTGACTCTGGCATAACATTATGAGAAAGCAAAAGAATCAAAATATTTAATCCCAAAATATAGTTCCCGGCCATACCTTGAAATTGCCCTGTAAAGTCTCATGTGGGAAAAATCCACATTCTATAGAGAAGCCTCTTTCTCCTTTGTTTTCTTTCTTTGCTTTCGGGATCCAGGAGACAATCAGCTAAGAGCCAGGCACCCATTTAGGTCCGATAAGACACATTTTACAACCTGCTTTCTCTCTGAAGTCTGCTATCTGAGAGATTCCTCTGCACAATAAAACTTGGTCTCCACAACCCTTTATCTTAACCCGGACATTCCTATCTATTGATCCCAGGTCTTTAGACAAATTCAATTGTCAACCAGAAAATTTTTAAATTTACATATAGCCTGGCCTGGAACCCCTGCTTTGAGGAGTCCTGCTTTTCTGAACAAGTCAATGTATTTAAGTATATTTGACTGATGTCTCACGCCTCCCTGATATATATAAAACCAAGTTTGGGCACATGTTCTCAGGACCTCCTGAGGGCTGTGTGACAGGCTGTGGTCACTCATATTTGGCTCAAAGTAAATCTCTTAAAATATTTTACAGAGTTTGACTCTTGGTTGAAAATATTTTGGCATCCAAATATGTGGGGCCTCAGAGAAGACTCAGGATCCCAAAGGGGTTGCCCAAAACCAGAGCTAAGGTACCAGCAGGCGCCCACTGAAGCCCTACTGCAGGCGTCCCCAAACTGCGGCCCCCTGAGGTCATTTATCCGGCCCCCCACCGCACTTTAGGAAGGGGCACTTCTTTCATTGGTGGTCAGTGAGAGGAGCACAGTATGTGGCGGCCCTCCAACGGTCTGAGGGACAGTGAACTGGCCCCCTGTGTAAAAAGTTTGGGGACGCCTGCCCTACTGAGTTCAAGCTTGTCCTCCCCAGCCCCAGATGGAGTTTCCCCTTTGGTTGACGGTCCTTGATTTATTCTGAGCTGGTTTTCTCCTAGGAAGTTGTTGTTTATGGATCCTAATTCTAGTTCAGAGACTCATTCTAAATGGAATTCTCTATTACTTTTTCTCCTAAAATGTATCCTGATTTGGTTTGCCTGTGTGCATTTGCGTGAGGAACTGAACTGTTGTTTTCATAGACAAAAGAGAGACTGAGTTTTTCAGCTCCAAAGAGAAAGGGCATTTGCTCCTCCCAGTGAAAGGCACCCTTGGGTGACCGGGGACTTGTGGAAGTATCTAGGGGGTGGACCACCTGAGATGTACAGTAACCCTGCAGGGAAATTCCCCCCAAAATTAATTTTAAAATGACTCATCCAGGAAACGTATATAAGGGCTGATCACCCAGCGTTTTGAGCCCTCTTAGAGGTCATAGACCCCTGAAGAGAGAAACTGAGACCTGTAAGAAGGTGGAAACAACTCAGTGGTGACACACTGTGGAGTCCCACAAGCAGCACTTCATCCAGCACACAAAACCCTAGGATAGAGCTCAGTTCCTCCTCCTTTTTTTTTTTTTTTTTTTTTGGGACGGACTTTCACTCTTGTTACCCAGGCTGGAGTGCAATGGCGCGATCTCGGCTCACCGCAACCTCCGCCTCCTGGGTTCAGGCAATTCTCCTGCCTCAGCCTCCTGAGTAGCTGGGATTACAGTCATGTCTCACCATGCCCAGCTACTTTTTTGTATTTTTAGTAGAGACGGGGTTTCACCATGTTGACCAGAATGGTCTCGATCTCTTGACCTCGTGATCCACCCGCCTCGGCCTCCCAAAGTGCTGGGATTCCAGGCTTGAGCCACCGCGCCCAGCCCAGTCCCTCCTTTTAAGAAAAAAAAAAGGGCAGGAAACAAATCAAATAAGGAGAAAACGAGGAGAATGGCCCCCTTCTGAGGACTCCATAAGGTTTTATGACACCACTACTTGCCAGGGTTTATATAAAAGGGAAGTAATATGGTCTTTGTACACATTTACATTAAGGAAAAAAAATCCTAAAATCGACCTGCAAACTAAAGCTAGTGCTCAGCTTACAACCACGATTGGTTCCGACAGACCGGTCGTAACACGATTTGGTCATAAGTTGAGTAGGCTATATGTACAGTACTGTGAAATGATGTTATAAAAATCTTTAAGTCATATTTTATCATAATTTTCTTTCATTATTGTTATATATCATAATTTTCTTTGTTCATTTTAAGCCATTTGTATCATCTCTACACCATTTTGTTTCTTATTTTTACATATGTCAGGTTTAAGTAAAACACTGCATTACCAGTACAACTGGTTTAATATTTGCAAAACATGCAAAATTACAAAACACAGCTGCAGACAAAAATACAAAATACAGGTGTAAAAACACCATAGGAAACATTTTCCCAATTGCAAAACATATCAAAATATATAAACATGTACAAAACACAAATTGCTGTACCGAGTCTGGGATAACAGTTGAAATGGTGCACGCGGAGATGGTAGTGCTGCCGGAAGCTGGTCCGCGCTGTCTTCTGCCCAACTGGGCAACGTTTCCGCTGCCAGACGTGGAGCAGTCGTGGCTAGCGATTGCGGTCGTAAAGTCGAATGGTCGTAAGTTGCACACGTCGTAAGTCGATCAATACCTGTATAGCAGGTGTCCTCAAACTTTTTACACAGGGGGCCAGTTCGCTGTCCCTCAGATCGTTGGAGGGCCGCGACATACTGTGCTCCTCTCACTGACCACCAATGAAAGAGGTGCCCCTTCCTGAAGTGCTGCAGGTGGTGGCCAGATAAATGGCCTCAGGGGGCTGCATGCAGCCCGTGGGCCATAGTTTGGGGACGCCTGCTGTATAAAGTACTTAGGTTTTATTTTTTTTTTCTGCCTGCTTTAATCTGCTGTTAACTTTTCTACTGAGATAAAAACCACCAAATGGCTCTAACGGTATGTTTTGCAAGCTAAGTTGTATTTATTTCATGGCTAAAGTACTGAAGTAATAGCTATGGGAACTTTGTGTGTGAATGTGTGTGTATATATTTAAAGGCCTTTATAATAGACTTCTATAATTTTATGTTCAATTGGCAATTGAATCCGTTGTTTCATTTGTTTTTTTGGGTGTTTTTTTGGACACTGAGTCTCACTGTGTTGCCCAGACTGGAGTGTGCAGTGGCGTGATCTGGGTTCACTGCAACCTTTGCCTCCCAGGTTCAATCGATCTTGTGCCTCAGCCTCCTGAGTAGCTGGGACTACAGGTGCCCGCCATCAGGCCCAGCTAATTTTTGTATTTTTAGTAAAAACGAGGTTTTACCATATTGGCCAGGCTCGTCTTGATCCTGACCTCAGGTGATCCACCCACGTCAGTCTCCCAAAGTGTTGGGATTACAGGCGTGAGCCACTGAGCCCTGCCAGAATCCGTTTTAATTTCCCTCTGGCACACCAGACTTTCTCTTCATACCTTACATTGTAAATTTTTCTATCTGGTTTTCACCTGAATTACCTTTAACTTGAAAATTTAAGGCTACTTAGCTGACAATTGCCTGTGGTAAGATTTTTAGAAAATGGAAACAAAAGGCCAGGTGTAGTGGCTTACGCCTGTAATTCCAGCACTTTGGGAGGCCTATAGTCAGACATTAGGTCAAGAGACTGACATCAACCTGGCTAACAGAGTAAAACCCTGTCTCTACTAAAAAATACAAAAAATTAGCCGGGTGTGGTGGCACGCAACTGTAATCCCAGGTACTTAGGAGACTAAGGCAGGAGAATCGCTTGAACCCAGAAGGCAGAGGTTGCAGTGAGCCAAGATCTCACCCTTGCACTCCAGCCTGGGTGACAGAGTGAGACTCCACCTCTAGAACAAAAACAGAAACAAAAAAAAAACTGAAGACATGTAAATCTGCTTATGTAAATTCCCCACTGCATAGCCTTTTGTGTGGAGCATTTATAGGGGCTGATGGCAAAAACTGAGTACTTTTCAATAGTAAGGACTGAGCTAGAGCAGTTCTACTTGGTGGGGCATTTGTTGCCTTGCCATGGAATATTAACTGAAGCTACCCCTCTACTCATAGAAACAATGTTTCCCAACAAGTTCCATGATAAATAAAAATGGTTTACATGAAATCTTCCTACCTAATAAGCCAAGAGCCTTTTTCTGGGACTAACTGTGAGAAGCTGCAGTGCCAAATAGCTCCCATGAGCTGTATGTTTAAAAAATGGCATTTCCAAGGTAAAAAAAAAAATCTTGTTTTAAAAGCAAGTGCTCTGGTTAAAGGAGGGTCAAAAAATATTTTATCTGGGTGAAGTATGTTTAGGTAAGCAAATTTACCTTTCTGAATTCTCCAAAATCCAGATTGTAATTTTATAATAGTATAGCTGTCTGCATGAGTTCAATGATAGTTAATAATTATTGTTTTAAGGGAAAAGTGTAACACTTAATACTAGATTTTAGCCCTAACTTTTTAAGTGCAGATTAAATCATTGTTTCTTGGATACAATAACCCTCTAGAAAGTACCAAATTATAATTTTTTTTCAGATTTTTAGTTGGTACCCTAATGGAATAGGTTCCTTTTTCTGTTCTATCATGTAAATTGCTCTCATAACTGTCAAACTATAAGTGTTATTTATCTCTCCTTGTTTTACTTCCAAGGAAACCAAAATCACAGTATTCTGAAGACCAGAGATGTCAACTTCCCTCATTTGGCATCCTGCTGACCCCAGGGATCTGTTTCACTGCTAACGCTCTGCTGCTAAGACTCTGCAAGCTGCCTCCCTCTAGGCCCAGGGACTATTGCAGAAGAGGTGGGCAGGTAAGATGGTAAGGGCTGGTTTTAAGGAATATAATTAGGAGAAGATCAAACCCTCCAAATCAAGAAGGGGGCACAAAATACGCCTAAACAGCTGGTAAAACAAGTTTACTTGCCTTCTAAACTATTATGTGTCACTTTTTTTTTTAATGTGAAATTAAACTGATTCTTCATTCACAAATTTATAATACCACTCTACTGCAGTCTTTGACTCCAAGATATTTTAAATCATATTTGGTCACTGAGGAAGACATAAGTTATAGTAAGCATACTTGTTCCAAAAGTCTGGGCCCTTTCATCCACATCAGTCCTTTTCCAAAATAACTTGCAAGTCTTCAGTGCCTGTATAATGTGGATCTAGAATCAGAAACTTTATCTGCCCTATAATCTTATCCCATGCAACTCCTAGTATTGTTTGGGCCAAAACTCCTCCCCCGATTATAACTGAAGTTTCTTCGCTTTGGAAATGATTAGCTAGCCAGTTCCTGTCCTTGAAAGGCCATTTCTGAACCTTGGCTGACAAACAGTATTTTTGAATTTATACCAGTCAATTGGCTTAGTGCCAGCTCTACCTCAATAGATCCAATCCACTGCAGTGATCCAACAAATGTTGCTGGTTTATCACCAGCATCAACTAGAGCCTGCTGAATTCCTCTATGTGTTGGAATGGACTTCTCTGTGTATTCCTGATGTTTGAACCAAGAGCAGATAATCTGCAGAAATCATTAAGCATAGCCCCAGCCACTGTCACCTATCCAGTCCTGCGTGTAATGATGATAAACATATATGTCCTGACCACATAAATCGTACCAGTCTCCATGTTAGGTGGATAAAGTATGTGGATTTCTAATGTAACCATCTTTGTATGGCTCATCTGGAAAGTGATAAGCATTAGACCTTTTGAAATAGGGTCTGTCATGAGGCAGATTGAAGAGATCATGTAACTCCTTTCTATAAGCCTGCAGCTGACCATCTGGTATTCCTGAAGGATGTGAAATAGTGACAAGAATTTTTTTCTGAGCTGGGCGCAGTGGGTCACGCCTATAATCCTAGTACTTTGGGAGGCCGAGGCGTGTGGATCATGAGGTCAAGAGGTCGAGACCATCCTGGTCAACATGGTGAAACCCTGTCTCTACTAAAAATACAAAAATTAACTGGGCATGGTGGTGCCAGCCTGTAGTCCCAGCTTCTCGGAGGCTGAGGCAGGAGAATTGCTTGAACCCAGGAGGCGGATGTTGCAGTGAGCCGAGATCATGCCACTGCACTCCAGCCTGGGTAACAAGAGCGAAACTCTGTCTCAAAAAAAAAAAAAAAAAGAATTTTTTCTCCTGTAATAAAAATTGCAGTGACTCAGGGACCACAATAGATCTTCCTTTCATATATTTCAAAATGCATTTTTCCATATCAGTTTGTCAATTATGAATTGCATCAAATAGAAGTTTATGAACTTTTCCCCATGTTTCCTCTGGACCAACAGATACAACTGCATCAACAGGTAAAGTCACATTAACATAATGATGTCCTCCGCTTTCCCTTTCAATGATGGGCGTTACAGCTGCCAAGGAGGTTGACATTTCCAGCGTAAGATCTATATTTACTATTTGATGCATGTCTGATAACTTTTTGTCTTTCTTTCTCATGAAGTTTCATTATATATATATATTTTTGGAGACGGAGTTTCGCTCTTGTTGCCCAGGCTGGAGTGCAGTGGTACAATCTCGGCTCACTGCAACCTTATTTTTCGTAAAGATGTTCGTGGGCGGATCTCTTGAGCTCAGGAGTTTGAAACCAGCCTGGTTAACATTACAAAACCCAGTCTCTACCAAAAATACAAAAATTAGCTAGGTGTAGTGGTGCCTGCTTTTGGTCCCAGCTACTCAAGGGCTGAGGTGGGAGGATCACTTGAGCCTGGGAGGCAGAGGTTGCAGTGACCCCAGATCACATCATTGCACTCCAGCCTGGGTGACAAAGATAGGCTCTGGCCAAAAATATTAATAATAATACAGAAGTTATAAAATAACATATATTTTTTTATTTTTGTTCTAAAAAATATGTATCTCTGTGTCTACTGCACTTTTTTGCGAGTGTGCGCTTTTTAAAAATCCATCTACCAAAAAAAAAAAAAAAGAAAAAAAGAAAAAAATCCATCTACCATCTATCTCTGCCTTTTTATCTGAATAAGCCCTGGAAAGATGCTGACAAAAAAGTGAGGAGCGGATTGGGAGAAACATGGCTTTTACTTTCTACTGGTTTACACTTTGGTACAGCTTGATTTCTTTTGTCTTTTTCTTTCTTTCTTTCTTTCTTTTTTTTTTTAACCATTAACATACGTACATCAATTTTATGATTTCTTATTTCTATTTTGAAAGACAAAAACATATTGTGTGGAGTTAATAAATAATAGGAGTTTACACTGATGATGGAAGTGTAAATTCCAACAATATGTACAAACATAATTTGACATTATGTTTCAAAATCCTTAAAAATGTGCATACTACATGATGGTAGCAATTCTACTTGAAGGAATGTATACTAAAGAAGCAAACAAAAATGCCCATCAAGATGCCTCATAATAGCCTGGGCAATGTGGTGAAGTCCCATCTGTACAAAAAGATATGTGTGCCTGTAGTCCCAGCTACTTTATAGGCTGAGGTAGAAGGATAGATTGAGCCCAGGGAGGTTGAGGGTGCAGTGAGCCTTGATCATGCCATTGTACTCCAGCTCGAGCAACAGAGTGAGATCCTGTTTGAAAAAAAAAAAAAATTTCAGGCCCGGTGGCTCATGCCTATAATCTCAGCACTTTGTGGGGCTAAGGCAGGTAAATGACTTGAGGTCAGGAGTTCAAGACCAGCCTGAACAACACGGTGAAACTTGGCCTCTGACAAAAATACAAAAATTAGCTGGATGTGGCAGTGCGAGCCTGTAATCCCAGCTACTTGGGAGGCTGAGGCATGAGAATTGCTTGAACCAGGGAGGTCAAGTCTACAGTGAGCCAAAGTTGTACCTCTGCACTCCAGCCTAGACAACAGAGTGAAACCCAAAAAAACCAAGCTGCCTAATGGAAGGGTTTTGTTTTGTTTCTGAGACCCAGTCTCACTCTGTTGCCCAGGCTGGAGTGCAGTGGTGCAATCTCAGCTCACTGTAGCCTCTACCTCCCAGGTTTACCATTTTCCTGGTGTTGAGCATTTTGCTGGGTGTGTGCCATTTGGACTTAATTTTTATACATCATTTATAGGTTTAGAGAAGTAGTTCAATGGACAGTTGTTGACCAAGTCATCAACCCCCAAAGATAGTTGAGAGGAGTTGCTTAAGGGTTTTCTCTCTTCTGTCTCAGCAGACACCCTAAAGTTCTCAGAGTTACAGGGCTATTAGAATCTTTTGAAGATTGACATGGATGTTAATTCTTCATTAATAAAGGGATAAGCACTATAGGAGCCATCTAATGAGGTACCAGTTCTCCTGGAAGAATTATTCATTTGCTTGATTTTCTCTCCTGTTTCTCCCACCCCCATGCTGATGGTCTGTCAGATTAACAAAACTAGATTCATCCAGTTTTTGTTTTGTTTTGTTTTGTTTTGTTTTGTTTTGTTTTTTTTGAAGCATTCTCTCTCTGAAAGACAAGCCATCTTAGTCCATTCAGTCTGCTATAATAAAATACCGTAAACTGGGTAATTTACAAACAACAGAAATTTATTTCTCACAGTTGTGGAGGTGGGAAGTTAAGGCTGATTTGGTGTCTGGTGAAGGCTGGCTTCTTGGTTCATGGATGGCCATCCTGTGGCTGTAACCTTACATGGGGGAAGCAGCTAGTGAGCTATATGGGGCCTCTTTTGTAAGGACACTAACCCTTTCATAAAGCCTCTGCCCCCATCACCTAATCATCTCTCAAAGCCCCATATCCTAATATCATCACCTTGAAGGTTAGAATTTCAACATACGAATTTTGGGAGTGGGGTCAGAAACATTCATTGCATTGCAGAAGGTATATGTATTAATTGCCTATGGCTAGATAATAAGTTACCCCCAAATTTAGCAGATTAAGTTGGGCTTGGTGGCTCACGCCTGTAATCCCAACACTTTGGGAGGCTGAAGCGGGTGGATCACTAGATCAAGAGATTGAGACCATCTGGCCAACATGGTGAAACCCCGTCTCTACTAAAAATACAAAAATTAGCTGGGCGTGGTGGCATGCGCATGTAGTCCCAGCTACTTGGAAGGCTGAGGCAGAAGAATCCCTTGAACCCAAGAGGCAGAGACTGCAGTGAGCCAAGATCACACCACTGCACTCAAGTCTGGGTGACAGAGCGAGAGACTGTCTCAAACAAACAAAAAAATTAGAAGAATAAAACAAGAAACGTGTTATTTCACACAGTTTCTCAGAACCAGGAATCCAGGGGTGGGTTAGTTGGGTGGTTCTGAGTATTTTTGACGAGTCAGGCTATTGGCTGGAGCTGCAGTCACCTCAAGGCTTGACTGAGGCTGGGGAATCAGCTTCCAGGCTCACTCACACAGTTGTTGGCAGGCATGGTTTGTTCGGTGCCTGCTGGCTGGAGCCTTCATTTCTTCAATAGGTAGAGCTCTCATAAGACTGCTTACCTCATGGCAGCTTGCCTCCCCCCAGAGCAAGTGATCTGAGGTTAGGAGTGGAAGTGGGGCGAACACGCACAACAGAAGCTGCAATCTTTTTTTTTTTTTTTTTTTTTTTTGAGACGGAGTTTAGCTCTTGTTACCCAGGCTGGAGTGCAATGACACGATCTCGGCTCACCGCAACCTCCATCTCCTGGGTGCAGGCAATTCTTCTGTCTCAGCCTCCTGAGTAGCTGGGATTACAGGCTTGCGCCACCATGCCCAGCTAATTTTTTGTATTTTTAGTAGAGACGGGGTTTCACCATGCTGACCAGGATGGTCTCGATCTCTTGACCTCATGATCCACCCGCCTCAGCCTCCCAAAGTGCTGGGATTACAGGCGCTGCAATCTTTTATAACCCATTCTTGGAACAATGACATACCATCTTTTCTGCTGTATGTTTTTGGTCACGGAGACCAAGCCTGGTACAATGTGAGAAAGGACTACCCACAGCTGTGAATACCTAGAGGCAGAATCACTGAGGGAGATCTTGGAAGCTGGCTATCACAGCATTCAGCCAAGCCCTACTGCCTCTGCAACCCACTCTTACCTCCTGAGGATCAGCAGAAACAGGGAAACACAATTTCACGCTTAAACAATGAGTTTCGTGCTTAGTCAATCTGGGAACTGTAAACTTACCCATGGTTTGCCAAGTCCTGTTTGGTTTATAGAGGCATATGTTGGAGGGAGTGGAAACTTCTTTGCTTTCTCAGTGATATTTAATTAGCATTTTGCCACATTTTCTGTGTGTTTGTCTGGTCTTCATAATAGGTCTTCATTTCCCCATCGAAGTAACTAACTTTATATAAAATTCCACCAGTTCTCTATAAAATTACGGGTGCTTTTTATATTAAATGCTTTTTTTTCCCCTGAGGGTGGCCAACTTAATAATTATAATACCTTTTCATAGTCTTTGTGTTACTTTGGGCTTAAATTCACATACTTCAGCATGTATTAGAAAAGACATACGTATGTATTAATCTGTTCTCATAATGCTATAAAGAAATACCTGAGACTGGGAAATTTATAAAGAAAAAAGTTTTAGGCCAGGCACTAGTGGTTCATGCCTATAATCCTAGCACTTTGGGAGGCCGAGGCGGGTGGATCACCTGATGTCTGGAGTTCAAGACAAGGCTGGCCATCATGGTGAAACTCCATCTCTACTCAAAATACAAAAAAAGCCAGGTGTGGTGGCAGGTGCCTGTAATCCTAGCTATTTGAGAGGCTAAGGCAGGAGAATTGCTTAAACCTGGGAGGTGGAGGTTGCAGTGAGCTGAGATCAGGCCATTGTACTCCAGCCTGGGCAACAAGAGCAAAACTCCATCTCAAATCATGTATAAAAGAACTATACATAAAAATAATTTTATTTGATTTATGGTTTAGTTTGCTCATCTTTCCCTTACCAATATTTTTGCACAACTCAAATATTACTGCTTACTCTTTAAGGAAATACACCCATTGTTGCAGGACTCAAGAGATTCCTTCCTCCACCTTTCTGCAGATGAAGAAATGACTTCTGATATCCTTGGAAACTATGAGCTGTGTCCTAGGTCTGGAGTTCTGCCTTCTAGCCAGGAATGTGTCACTTCCACACCTAGCACGCTTATCATCAACTTTAAGCCTTTCTTCTGCTACCCCATTCCTACTGTCCCCATTCAAGTTATGCCCGGTAGGGATGCCTGCTGGGCTTTTGTTCTAGTCTCTTTTGCCTTCTGCATTCAGTCATCAGCAGGCCCCACTTCTGCTTACCCATTCCTTTCTTCATTTCCTCTTCCCACAGTCCCCATTGTGATGCACCTTCCTCCATAGAGTTCTGGCCATATCATGTTCCTCCAGCTCCAGATTTGGTCTGTGGCCCCTCATGATGGCCACGCTGACACAGTTCACGCCTATCGTTCTGCCACTACAGTGTTCATGTCCTCTCTTATGATGGTGGGCACAGCTTGGCACTGTGCTTCCTGTACGTCCTCTCCCCTAGACTCAATTCTAGTTTCTTCAAAGCAAGAAGAATTA